ATAAAAATTTAAAAAAATATATCTTCTGCTTGAATTATTCGAACTGAGAAAATATATATATATATATATTCATTATATATTATAATTTTTGATATACATTGATATTATTTTTTTAAATTTTTAATTTATTTGTAAAATTTTGATTATTGTATTAAAAATTATTTAATTCTATAATGCTATTGTTTAATCAATAACTACGTATATCAGGTTATGTATTTATATCCATTGAAGTGAGTGATTTATTTATGTAAAAAATTCATAACATAAAATGAAATTATATTTTTAAAATTCATAAACAAATTATATATATATATATAATATTAACACATATTTTTATTAGACTAATTTATGCAGAATCCTATATCATCCTTAAATTTTATATAATATTAGCATGCTCATTGTCATATATAATTTAAATGAATTAATCTTACACGTTACATTACCATTTATAATAATATTTCTAACTCATTGAAAACTTTAAAACATAAGCCATAAATGTAAAATTATCTTAAAATTATCTGTATAATTAAAATTACATATTCTATCCTTATATTTAAGTCTTTTTCACATTATTAAGAGTTATAAGAGACAAATTAACTGTCAAAAAATTGATATATTGAATGAATACATATCTAATCAATATATATATAGCTTATACATAAATATTTTGATAGGCATTTTAATAAAATATATTTCATTTTATATAAGCTAGAATGGATTTATTATTAAAACTCTATAGTATTTTATAGACAATTAAATGACTGAAAAATAACCCCTTGTTTAATACAATTTCCATAATTAATGAATAAGTTGTATTTTCTTATTGATGTTATCTTTTCATGAAAAAATAATTTTATTGAACAAATATATTTATTCTAATATATAAATATCTATTATTTATGAGAAATATATCAGTATAATTCTGTGGGATCCATTAATGTGATAACGAGGCATAATTATATCATTATATCTCCTATATTATATGATTAAATTAATTTAAATTATGCATATATATGTTAAATAAATATTAGATTTATTTAGACTATTATGTCTTATTACTTCATTTGAGTTAATCAACATTTTTGATAATTAATCTAAAGGAATATATTTTAATTATAACGTGGAATGTATAATGAATAATCTTGAGTGGCCATATACATTGCTCTAAGAAATTTATTGTGTGATATGTTTCATTTATTAGGTTCTTTATAATGTACATCCTTTTTAGGAAATATATAATACTTAACAATTATATTAAATATATACTAATTACTGTCAAAATTTCATAATATTTATAATTTATTACATATATTATTCAATGTCAATAAATGCATATGTTTTTATAATACCTTTTTTAATATTATTCCGCTGAGTTATATGATATACTGTGTTTATTTTGAATTACATTTTTTTGTAACTGTTCAAATGAATTCATTAATTCATAATGTTTTTTATATTTTCTATTCCGTATATTTTTTAACTTTCTTCTCCTTGGTCGTAAGTATGAACCATAAGCAGTATACTGACAATTAAAAAAAAATATGGTATTTCTATGATGAGTACATTAATTATATATTTATTATAAAATATATTATAAATATTTACTGTGTAAAATTTTTTTTAATTAAGTTTAATTTTAACATTATACAAGATGAACATAATTACTAATATTGCAAAAAATAAAAAACCCGTGCTTGTCCACGTTACTGGAGATTCAATATATCCTAATAATGCCTCTGATCTGGTCGCGCTTGCGTCAACTTTCCCCAAAGAAGAATTTAATAATTCACTTGTATTTTTGCAATTAGGTTGTTGTTCAAGAAGCTTATGAAATTTTAGTTTAAATTCATCTAGCTCTTCCTGGACAATATTCTTATAATCATATTTAACTTTGTGTGAAAATTCCTTATATTTTTCTGCACATTTTTTAACATATTCGCAATTATTGCTGTCCCTTTGAAAATTATTATAATGATCATATAATTCCCTAAACATTGCAAATATATTATATACATCGTCATTCATAAACGACACATATTCTTTACATACATCAGGTATTCCTACGCTTACATTTTTGTATGCATTTATAAGTTGATTATGAAGATCATCATACGATTGAACATTAGGATATTTATTCTTTGCTTCTCGTTTCAGCTCGTAGATATAAAAATTACAATATGGTTTTCTAGTATCTTCTTTCCTATTTTTTAATTCATGTAGATAAAGACCAAGTTTTACACAAGGTTCATAGAAACTATTCCATGTTTTAGCACTACGTTTAATTCTATTATTAATATCATTGCAAGGTTGATACAAATCTCTACTTACAGGACCCTTAATCATAATGCTTAAAAGAGAATTATAATAATCCTTACAATTAGGAAAAATATCATTAAATGACAACTAAAATTGATATAGTAGTGCATAAAAATGATTTCCATTTACAAGAAATATATTTTTCTTTCATTTTCATATGTAGAACAATTTTAATATGTAATAATATGAATTATAATTTTAATAATATCTAGAAACATACTTCAGCTTTCACTCCATGGCTGTTTCCCATTATATATTCTCAGCGTTTAGGGTTTAGTGTTTAGGGTTTAGATTTAATGCTTACGCTTCAGCTTTTTGTGTATATATATATTTACAATATATTTTTATTATTATATTTTTGATCTGGTATTCATATATATATATTTTTACATATCACAATCATTTTATATTTTTTTGTTCAAATTTTTTTATTGTGAAATTTATGATTTATTATATATTACTATTGGTTTATATAATAATTTATGTTACTAGAAATATGTATTGTTATGATTGTATTTGTTTACTATAATAATTATATTTATATTTTATATAATTGGTATTTAACATATGATGGATTTTTCATATTTTATTATTTATTTCTTTAATATACACAATTGTTATATTTTAATAATAATAAATGATATCTTGAATTTCATAGTGTCAGTAATTTTATATATAATTTTTTTTTGCGTTTTATTATTTCTTCTGTATATTATTATTTTTAATATTTCCATTCCAATTACATTAAATATACTGTATAATATGACCTTATGTATAATTACATTTTTATTCAATATCTATAGTCATATTATCTTAATATATCCAAAATTTAATGATCTTTTATTAATCCTTTATTTTTAAAGGAAATGCTCGATAATATTAGATATATTTTTTTCACTAGGAACT